TCAGTTGGCTCATTGTGACAAATTTCAGACACCATATATTTATCAAGATAGGTTCTAGGGGGAACCGCGTGGAGGTCAACCTGACATGGTACATTGATATCAATAGTCCACATTATTAACAATCTCCTTCCCCCAACGGCAGGGGGTAGTCAGATGCATTCTCAGTTTGTTTCGGTGTTTCCTTCACTGCAGTTATTCAAGAATATAAATTAACAAACAGTTTCTTTTTGTGCCGGCCAGATTTGAATTGACGACATTTTAAAGGTAAGTTGGAGTAGTAACCCACTGAGCTACAACGCTCTCAATTCTATTTCCATTCGTTCATAAACCATGTACTTTATATTTATAAATATCAATAAATAAATGTAAGCTCGATTTAAAACCCTTGGGGGGTCTTGAGTGATCTACGACTGAAGATTAGCACGCGTTTTTAATCAAACAAACATAACATTTTATCAACCGACAGATAAAATTTCAATGGGAAATGCCAAATAAAATGATTTAAAAATATTCAAATATTGTTATTTAATAGGCCACCATCCGCGACATACGTACATTATAAGTTATTTAGATTCAAACTAGAAAAACTACCGTTGATTTTGGCAATAAAGCCATGCTTTACTAGACACGTTATGTCTTATATACAAAATAAAAAATAATAATACGGCAAATAAAAAAATATAAATCGGCTTATCTATATAAAACCGGCTTATTCGAATAACGTAGCGATAGCAAATAAGTAAGCTTGTACGCATTTTACTTTAACTTGTAACATGTTTTATTATTATCTTATTTAGTGACCTGACCCATATTATACACATGAGGATTTTTAATAAGTTATCACTGGGATACGTAAAACAGATTGGCATAAAGCAATTTATCTGTTTACGCACGTAATGACGATATCTTCTAAGAGCCGTGCTGTTTGTTTCATCATGTCAACATCAATGACGTGTAAATGCATATTGTAAATGTATTTTTTTATTCTTTTGCTTTGATATTCTCAGGATAATTTTTTCGGGTCTCAAAATTCTCAATAATAATAACAAGAAGAAAAATACTACTCAGGCAAAGCTGCTACATATGCTATAAAATATTAATTATAAAATGTCCAAAGGTCATAATATGAGTCGGTAGTGAAATAGTTCAGCCTCATAGTCTGTTTTTTTTAAACTTCTAATCTTAATACATGCTATGAATAAGACCATTACGTAACGGACAACTATCAGATTACTTTAGACCACGTTATCACACAATTTCACTCCAAAGATGAAGCGACTAACGAAACAAATTACAAGGAATTGCTAAAATACTCTATTAAATCGTTTGACCACCATTGTAAGAGTAATCTAAATCTTCTTCTTTTGAATAGATATCCATGAGAAGCAGTACGGGGAGAGAGAAGAATCTTAATAGATATTATTGGCCAATGGGAGCAATAGAATTGACGTCACCTCGATATCTTTGCGGTAATCTCTGGAAGTCATTGTGGTTTATTTTTAATAAAATTTTCCACGGCGGCCAATCTTACTTAATTTTATCCAAAGTCTTTCGCATTTCTCTAATGTGTCACCAGCGTATAGTATCAGAGACGAAAAGGGTATCATTCCATCATTATTCATAAAGAAGGCTATTACTATGATCATAATAAAATAAGTCGCTTTTCATACAAAAAAAAATAATAAATACAACTGACGATGCTGACCGTACCCAGGTACGAATTGACAAAAAGATATATCTCCGACGTAGAGCATAATCCGTCGGGCATTGTGCAATCGCTAATCGGCGCGGATCGACGGCGAGACGACTCAAAATTAATAATGATTTATAACGCACGATTAGAGGCATTAAGCATTAACTCACCACCGGCAACGGGTGTATGATGGGCTTCGAGCTTTACATTCGACTTTAGTAACTTGTTAGTTTCAACTGTACACGTGATTTATTTAATTGTGGAATATTAATATTGCTTTTGAGAACTGTAATGCGTTTGCAGATGTTTTACTTTATTCTGATCAGTCATTTTTGTGCTGTTTTATAACAAAGTATTTAGAATAACTATATTGAGCAATTTCATATATCGAAGGGAATATTAATGCAGTTACGTACTTTAGTTTTTATTGTATTATTTTTTAACAATGGATCACAACCGAAACTACAGTTTATCATTATTATTTACATTAATTGGATTAAATATAAGTTGATAGAGCTGGTTCAAAATTATCATGTTAATTGACGTTATTACTGAGTTAAAGATATGATTTTCAATCAATTGAGTAAACATAAAGCAGTGACATTAGTATGAGAATGATATTTGAGACCTCACATTCAAATCCTCTGTTAGTAGCACGCGGTCTACCTTATTTTAACTATTAGTAACTCTCTGATGTCCACTAAATCTTCTTAACTCAAAACTACATTTTTTGGACATTATTGTTCTAATATTGGCTCTTGCTAATAATAGTAGCGACGGAGTATATTTGATTTAATACTTGCAAAAGTCTCAAATCGCTTATTAAATATTATTTTTTGTATTGTATTTAAACTATACAATTGCATATTGAGACGTATACTTACTTTAGCTCTAATATCAGACGGGATGTCATGGATTAGATTTAAGGGGTAAAAGAACTAGAAAGGGACAACACATAGGAGATTTACACATAACAAAGAAGGACGAAAGACTGTAGATTTAGAGATTATGAATCATAAAGAGAGGAGAATGAATGGAAAATTATTACTTAGGGAATGAACGGTGGGTATTACAGGCAGGCGCTGTATGAGAAGTTTATAGATCCGTCGGTATAGATTTCATGCGCGTCGCAACGGCAAACTACTCGTGAAATTAGATAGCGGATTTAAGGGGGCTATTCATTAAGCGGAGTCCAGTCGAAATGAACGTTGATCACTGGAGCGCACCACGAATACAATAGAATGTACTAGTTTGTACCAAAATGTCATATATGATATTATTTTCTGCAAAAGTTGCACTTTATTATCTATACGTACAAATTAGAAATACTATACCAATTAATAATAGTTTCAATTTTGAATATATGTATAAAATGTTATGATTATTTGTATAAAAAAATGTTTACATTAAACGACAAATTACGACAGTTTATTCAAACGCAAGTAAAAATTAATACATAAGTTAGACAACGGATTTGTAATATTAAATAAAAGTGAAAATAAACTTAACTTTTCTTTAACTGAAATAACTAGCCGAACTTGACGATAGCGAGAGTGATAAAAAAATCTAATATTCATATTGATAATAATATTATATATGAATTAATGATCTTGTCTTGACTTGATGTATTAATATAGATTTAACGACACAATATAAGACAGAAATTTAAATGCACTAAAACGTCACAAAATTATTTATTTCTATTATAATCAATTGGCGGTAGACTTTGATATATCTTTAACGACTGTTCGTGTAAAAGGTATCAGTAAATCAATTATGGCATCAGATTAACGCTGAGATGAGCACGGATGTACAGACAAAAGGACGAGGGGACTACGCGTGACTATGAATAATGCTGGTAACTATATCGACGCCGACTTAATTGTTAGGCTGCGGATACGAATGTCAAATTACAACGACTTAACATGATTTCTCAGATCTACTTATTATATGTATTTTCTAATTAGTACACTTGTTTAGAAAATACATGTGTAATATGTATTTTCGTGATATGTAAAATCCACCCTATATACTATAATATACATTTATTTGGAAATCTGGATGTTACCCGCTACTTCGTCTGCACAACTTTCATTGCATATTTTTTTTATATCGGATAGCTTATGTCTTTTGCGAAAGAATATAAATATTGATCCATACCATCCGTACTGATATTATAAATGCCAGTTTGTCTGTATGTCTGTATTATGGCCCTGTCTTATCTATTTATCTGTTCGATACATTTGAATGACAAAATAGCTGACCGGATCGCAGAAAGGCAATCAAAGTCGGGGATAACGGCTAGTATTTTATACCTATTGCTCATTTACAAATATAACAATTTCAGAGTCGCAAAAAAAAGAACATCATCGAGAACAATTATTATAATCGGATCACTGGGTTCAAATAGTTAACCCAATTAGGTAGATATTAAAAAAAACGTATACCTACTGATAAGAATTTAAATTATTTAAGTAAGCTTAATTAAGTACACAGTCCATTTAAATACAATAAATTAATGGGATATCAGTATTAATCATAGCAAAAAGAAGTAATTTGTACCTAGCCGTAAATAATTTTATAATTAAGCGGAAAATTCAAGATATGTAATTCCTTTTATTAGTATAATTAAGTCTTGTATAATTACTTGACATGAATCTAGCACGAACAACTAAAAAAATCCATTTGTATGAAATTCTTAGTCTAATTGAAAACCGTATTAAAGATATTTTTAAAGACATCTGCTTTAGTTTTAAGGAATGCCTCCACAAATATAAATAACATATTTTTGAACGATAGATATCATATACATAGAGTAAAGGAAATATGAATATAATAAGAAGATATGGCCTTACACATATCCATTACCAAGTATATATTTTTAAAAAAGAATTTTGTAAAACATTAATTACTGTACCTTTATTATTATACCTTTACTCTATGTATATTATGTCTCATCAGATCAACACTACATTATTGTATTCGAATTGTTTTTAAAGAAACAAACATTTTTAAATTTTTATTTTCAATATATTATGTTATATTAACTATAATTTACTATTTTTATGTTATTAATATTTATTAATTTCATCGTCATCGTTATCTCAGCCCGGAAGACGTTACTGCTGATCAAAGATCTTCCCTAAAAATCTCCACGACGATCGGTCCTACGCTGCTTGCATCCAACGCTTACCAGTGATCTTGACCAGATCGGTCCACCTTACCACTAGGCTGCGTGTTCCGGTCCACGGTGGCTACTAGAGAACTTTACATTGTTTATTTAGTATTATATTTTATTAGAACTCACCCGATATGCTTTTGCTGAAGAGGTTATTAAAGACCTCCTTTTTGGGGGGCGTGTGCGGTGTGCGCTCATTGTGTACCGGAGCGGAGGGCGGACGCGGAGCCGCGCGTTCCTCCGGCGACCTCCGCGGCGGCGTCTTGCTGCGACGTAACTCCGATGCGAGGTTCTGCAACAAGACATAACTGGAATCAACTAAATTGTTAATACAAACATACACGACATTTGTCGTTTATTTATTTTTAGTTAATTGCAATTCTGTTTTATTGTATAATGGGATACAATAAAACAGATTTGTGAAAAAAATATATGAAACGTTTGTTCTATTACATCGTAAAAATAACTTAGTAAATTTTGAGTCAAAATCTGTAATTGGAACAAAGTATTTTTTTTCTCTATTCGTATGGTACTTACTTATATGCGCGTATATAAATTTTACTGTGGGTGATGGAACTATATTATTATTATGGAAAGAAGAAGTAGTAATTTATTATAAAGGACAGATAAAGGAACCAATATGACAATTTCATAAAATATTTTTCTGTATAAAATAAAAGGTACATTATAATCTTAAAAGGTGCACCGTGAACACATAGTAATAAAGTGTTATATTCAGATCACACTATAATGTAATATTAACTGTTGGTATACAAGCCTCTTCTTAGATATATAAATACATATATATATATATATATATATATATATATATACAGTAAAACTTACATGGCGCCACCTAGGCCCCCACTATATTATAAAATAGGTACTAGACAACTGGTAGACATATTTGTAATCGCCACTGTATAACAAATGAATAACGTCCATATTGATCGTGCTTCTTAATATTCATTCACGGTTTCAAAGATAGTAATCAAAGTGTTACGAACTTGCTAGCTAAAGACAATTTGGATGTAAATAAAGTTTACAATGGTTCCCAAGTAACGGGCACATAATGCCTATTCAATTCTATTGCGAATTGATCCACGTAATTCATGGGAGTCAGTAAAACAAAATCCCGTGGCACCAAGTTCAGCACTTTAATGAATTAAGGTATCTTGACACTTAGTCGCTACAATAGCAGATAGTAGGTGATACGGTGCGAAAGTATCTATCAAATTAGAATAACAAAGCTGCCTTCTCAAATTAATTTTATTTGTATTTATATAAAATCTATTATTATCTAAACGTAGGTAAGTATTATATTTATATAATTACTTACCTACGTTTATATTTTATATTTATATAAGAATATTTCAATGCTTAGTCAGTAGTTTTTTAATGATCGATAAACAAGAACTATCACAATATGTAATAAACTAATAATAATATAGGTACCTATCTATATTAATATTAATATATTTTATTTATTTATTCCTATTTAATATAGTGTGGTGTTATAGTGAATTCGTATAAGTGTGGAAGGTCCCTTACTCTATAACATGTCGGTACACTTGCATATAATATTTTGTATGCACCAGGCGATATGCATCGACCAAACGTGCGACTAATATATAAATAGTTGCACAAACTCGTACCGTTCATTTTCACATATTTTTGTAACGTAACTGTAACTTATTTTTATCATTACATTTATGGATCAGAGATTTCTTTTTAATTTTATTCCATGAGCAACTACATTTTAGTTTCCTTTTAAGGCAAAGGACAAGTCGGAGGCATTTTTAAATAGTATAAAGTTTCTGTTTCTTCGCTACTTTTTCTACGACACGCAACGGATTTAGATACGATTTCAATTCAGAGTTTCTTTTTCAGGAGGTTTCTATTTATAATGTATGTATATTATTGTGCGAAAAATCGTCAAGAAGAGATTGTATCTGTTTCCGTTTGAGGCGGGTTAGTCATCAAATAAGAAAAACTATATACAATTTCAAGACCACTGAGACATCATATTGATGTCTCATTAGCTACAGAAATTTATAGTGAGAAAATTATAAACCTAAATGTTTCTTTAAAATTAAATCAAATAAAAATCAAAAAATAATCCATCGAGTAGTTTTTAAAATTATCTCGAACTGACTAAACGTGACTAAATTTTCTTATAATATGTATAAAAAAGAATAGGTTGTCAGTTTTATTTTCCGTTAATTGATAAATAATGATAACGTAATGAAAATCATGACAAGACATAACTCCACACCACATCTCGATACAATACCTATTAAGGTTCGATCTTTTTCATTAACACTTCTACGACACTACGAAGTAGTTACTAAAAATAAAACTAAGTAGTATTTTTATTTCACTTAACAACAAACTCGAGCAAACGACAACGACAAAACATCAATTCTATGTAGAATGTTAATCTATTCAAAATAGACATATGGCTAAATATAGTTCTTATTTGAACGTAAAATAATACCAATTTGAATTTGGAGAACAAATGTAAGTTTGTTTACTGAGACTATTCCGAAATAAACTTTTCGTAAATCATGTGCCAAATTTTAACGCTTTAACACATCCCATATAAGAGATATCGTATTTCCACATGGGAAAAACGTGGCAACAATAGGTATGTTATTGCCAGATACATGAACGAGCCAATGTATAGAGAATATTAAGATATACAATTGTTTCAGCAATAGAATAATTTTTAATTTTTGTATGTTCAGATATAGCGTGCAAACGAGTGTATGGTTTATCTGATAGTAAGTGATTTTCGCCACTGATGAGCATCTGTAACTTTTTAGATCCTACTAGAACATCGGCCTTTTAGGTCGGTAAATGCTATTTTCCTTAAAGTTTGAAGTAGATTTTGATATACTTCAGTTGGAAGTTGATTGCGTATTTTTATATGATATTTATGGATGATAATGGAATGGCGCACCAGTCTAAGACAGCAGTTCATGCTGCCGGAGCTCCAGTGGAGGATGGCAAGATAGACATAAGATCAAGTCAGAATTAGCTTACCGCGGTAAAGTCACCATGAATTCATTAATAGTTTGCAGGTGGAGGTCAACCCGACACATTGCTAGCAATGTGCACATTACTAACAATCCTCTTCTACCCAGTAGATTGCAATTTATATTATGGTGGTACAAGGAAATTTAATTTGTGGCGGATTATTGGGTTTTAAATACAGAAGCTGGTATGAAATTATGCAAGCTTAAATATAGGAAATAATAAGAAGACAATCCTAGATATGACAGATATAGAATACCAGTATATATCTAGTAAATTTGTAAGTGGATTTTTTAATGTTCAACCAATAGTGAGGACTCGGAATGAGTGGAATAAACTTTGATATGTTTTGATCTAAGACAAGTCGAACCACTTAAGAAGAGTCGAGATTCAAATTGGACACTTGGGCAGTTGCGTCAGTCGACACAAACTGCTCATGAGCTACACTGATTACATTCATTGAACATTGTTACTACACGAGTTGACCGCACAATGGCGAATCTCGCCACGAATCGTCTTTTAATAAGGTTAGTGCTGTACATTAAATTAATATTTATAGAAATTGACAGTGATTACATAAAATATAGAAAAAATAGGGATGGTGCGACGTTAACTAAACAAGTATTGGGTAAGTTCGTAAAATTAAGTCAAGTCATTCACCAAGACCAAAGTTGGCGAAGATATCCCTGTATTTAGATAACAATTGAATTATAAAAACATTTTTTTTAAATAAATACTTATTGGCAACGGGGACCAAAGGGCAGCCAATATGATAAAAAATGACATATAGCTACCAAATTATACGCATAATTCAAAAAACGACATATAATAAAACATATTCTTTTGGACTATGCTTAATATTGTAGAGTCTATTTTACCATAAATATTTAATTATATTTTTTATCTAGATTTCCCTTCAAAATACAACATACAAGTTGTTTTATGATTCAAATAAATAACAAATCTTCATCGTCGTTAGTTCGATTTTCGAATAGAAACAGCGTTAACTGAAAATCGAGGTTTTAGGCAAATCAATCAAACGCAAGTGCGCCAACAGCCAATATAGCTTGCTACCCATAGAATCGTTGATTCGCGCCACAGATACGTCTAATATCGTATTGGAATTTGTGATGCCGTTTGACCCCTGTTAACCCAGATTACGCTCCGACGCCTGATTCGTCCTCCGAACCTGATTGTGTTGTGACACAAACTGTAATGTATTATGTGTTAACTCTTGCTGCAATCACAGCTAGCACGTACCACAATTACAACGATCGTGTTCGCCGAACTTACAATTTGTTTTGAGCGATTTGTATTTACTAAGGTGTTTGGGGTTTTTCAGTTGCAATGCATATGTAAACATAAATTGTTTCGATTGCAGAGCTTCCAACAAGCTTACTCTTGTTTTAAATGTTTTGTATGCAATATATTTTGTGTACGACTTCTTTTTTTATGCTACGATGGTGGCAAATAACTATTTCTATGACAATCATAGTAACATATCGGTTTAACACCTCCCAGTGGGAACTGGATTCGATTGCTATTCAGAATATAAATAATTGTATACATGCTTTTATTTGTAAATATAGTAAATTTTAATTTAAATCTATATGTTGAATGTGTATATTATTCGTTTATTTTGATATGTTTGACAATATGAACTGATTTTGATGATTCAATCGACATGATTTGCCGTCACCTTCACAAATTACTTCACAGTCACAAATACGATAATACTTTATAAAAAACTGACCCATCATTAAGTATTACCCGCTACACATGTGTTTAATGTAGTACATTTATTCTACCTACTTACTTATCACAAATATGTCTATGTATGCATGTATACGCAATACGCATTTTGTATTAAAACTCACATTTATTAGTGACACCAGATAATACGCGTACACCGCATTTATCTAGCGTTCATTGATAAATATTAATACACTTCCGTAGTAATATTTAATTTATAATTAGAATGTGGGAACTATTTACATGAATGGACGTATAAAGTTAAATAATATGTGTATATCATTCAATTTAGATCACACTATTATGACATTATAATTTACATAAGTACATTTGACGTCTACTCGCGTTCCAAATTTAAAAGCTATTTAAAATATATGTATTCCAAATTTAAAAATTAAGATTAATTAACATTTAGGGTATAGTTTAGATTAGTTTCTGATAATATTAAATAGACATAAATGTCTTTGTACTTATGACTATCTGATATTAAAAATATATTTTTAA